TTTTTCACCTATATTTCAGGAAAAACCTCCTGTAGTAGAGCATTTAGGAAGAACTTAACCCAATGAGAAGCTGGGGCACAGGGCACCCCGGAAGATGCATACCTACTTGGGAACATACTGAGGGTGCTGGCTATACATGTGAGTGTGAACCATTCCAACTACGTACAGTAGATACAAACTACCCCCCCCTTTATTTTTTTGCTGACAGTCAGTATTAACACTACAGTAGCTTAGCAACTATAAAATCTAAAAGGGAGCTTACTGTAAGTGTATGTTTAACAGAAAAATGAGCACATATATATTTTATACACAAAGACATCTGACCTTCTTTCCAGTCTGAATCCCCAGCTTCTCAATGTTTGTACCAACAGAAAGAGAGGAGCACCCGCCCTACATCTGCAGCTGGCAGTGAGAAAGGAGATGAGCCTGAGGCCAGCCTGTGCCTTTTTTCTCAGGGACCAGTTATCCCTCTCCCATTACCAGCCTGGCTCTGTGTTTACCCACGGGCTTAGGGATCCTGCCTTGTGGTAAGCAAAAAATTCTCCTCTAAACTCTTAGCAACCAAATTTGGGTCAGAACACAAAGTTGGAAGCCAAAGTAGATGAAGAAAATAAAAGTAAAGCAAAGGAATGCATGTCATTGTAGATTATTTTTTTAAGTCAAATTACCCATAAAACGGAAAGAGTACATTCATAGACTATAATTGTAGATTGGGGGTAGGGGGGTTAGAACATATGGAGAGAATGAAAAACTATTTCATAGGGGAAGGCATTTATCTTTACTTTGGTAAGCTGAAGAAGCATCTAACCTACACACAGTTAACAATTTTGGAACCTTGTGAATTACACGGTTTGGGAAGTGGCGAATAAAGAAGAGAACTTTAGCACTGGCGATTTACTGAAGGGATGGGGTCTCCAGATACGAATCTGTTCTACAGGCAATCCCTATACTAGGTCTTCAGGAAGGAGAAAAAATAAATAGACCAAATTTGGTAGGATTTCTAAAACCGGATATATAATAAATATGGATCACTAACTTTTACACCAGCAATCGTAACTTCAAGTTTGGGGAAAGCATTATTATTCAATCATATCTTCCATATTCCAGTATCTTTTATTTGCTGGCCAAAACTTAGTTGCATTCACACACTCTTGGGCTCACTGGGGCGAATACTGCCAGGCTATTCTTAAGTATATTAAGATTTATCATCAGACACGCCAGAGTTAAGAATCTATGTGGAATCAAGTGAGAGGGACAGAACTAAAAGTCAGTGAACATCATCCCAAGGCCTGTCTCTGTCACTAACTGCCCCAGCCATGTCACTTCCATGATGATGTGTCACTATTTCTAAAATGAAGTAGTCAAACTACATAACTTCTAGCTCTAAAGTTAGTTCTAATTTCTGGTTCTTATTATCACTTTTTTTTTAATTATCACTTTTTAAAAATTTTATTTCTATCAAAGTAATACATACACAAGACTATTTTCTAAAGGTCTCTAAGAAAAATAAAAGTCAATACAAAAAGGCGTCCCTGCTGGGGTGCCTGTGTGGCTCAGTCAGTTGGGCATCCAACTTCAGCTCAGGTCATGATCTCACAGTTTGTGAGTTTGAGCCACACGTCGGGCTCTGTGCTGACAGCTTGGAGCCTGCAGCCTGCTTTGGATTCTGTGTCTCTCTTTCTCTGTCCCTCCCCCATTCATACTGTCTCTCTCAAAAAAGAAAAAAAAAAAAAAAAAAAAAAAAAAAAACTTCCCTGCTTCACGTCTGGGATAAAATACAAACATAAGAATAAATAACACCTGTCGGTTTGTGTAAAGAAAAAAAATAGAAATGAGAATACATTCTCCTTTTGTTTTTTGTTTTTAATTAACCAGAATTCCTACTAACCAGATTTCTAGAAGTCTTTCACACAGTCACTTCTTAAATCCAAATCAGTCTGGTTCTACACTACGCTTTTTTCTGTATTAGCCATCTCAGCTCCAACTTTATATGCCTTCTGAGTTAATGTGTTACCATAATCTGAAAAAAGGTAATAATTTTTCACATATTAGCTATCAGAGCTAACCAAATTATTCTTGGCTTCAATATCTGAATCCATAAAATAAGGATAAACAATCACCTTTCTCCAGATTACTAAAAAGATTAAATAAAATATAAGAACACATGGTAACTAGCCCAAAAAAGTGCATTTAATAGGCATATGTGTGGTTTAAAGGTATGGCCATCTATCCATAAAAGTTGCTTAAATGACTCATTTCCTGATTAACAGCACATTCACTCCAACAGACGTGTCTGGAAAATAATGCAACTAGAATGTTTGAAGCATGCAACTGTTAAGTATTATTTTAGAACTGCAATTCAAAAAACATGCATTGAGTATTTATATGTACCAGGTAGAATGTTAAAATTCCAGAATTCTGCTGATTATGACAATGACCCACCCTCCAAAAGCTCAGTCTAGTAGACACAAAAATTATCATATAACTGAACAATATAATAATAAAGGCATATACATGGAGCAGAAGTAGCAGGGGGAAGCAAGTAACTCATTCTGCCTGAAGAAAGTAAAGAGGAAGAGTAAAAGTCACGTGAAAAGCGGAAAGAGTAATTCTGTGGACAAGGCCTCGGGTTGAAATCCTAGTTCAGCCACTTATTAGCAACAGGATTTGGGGCAATTTAATTTCCCTCTCTGGGCCTCTCTGTAACTCTACTTTGGAAAGTTATTAAGATTAGAAATCATATATATGTTAAGCGACATATATATATGATATATAGCAGGCACTCACTAAGTGGTGGCTGACTTGTTCTAGGAGGTGTATTTGTTTTTAGTAGACCAAATTCTAAATGGCACTGTAGGGAGCATCTCTTGACTAATGACCAAGCTACATAAGGGATCACTAAGGTCACCAGCATGAAAAGGCCATAAGGAACCACATCACAATATTACCACTTTCAGAATCCACTTTTTTTCCATGTGAAGTGATTCCTAACATGTGGTATGCCGACCTGCTGGCAAAGAAGACTTCTAATCTATTATCTCCCTCCGTTTTTATCCTCACAAACTGAATTTTGCACATTCAGACTCATTATTTAGGAAATAAAAGAGGTCCCCGTGTTCCTCAGTCCGACCTGAGGAACTAGTTTTGGATGTTCAGCATATCTTGCATGAAACGGCAAAGTCTGATGAGAAAATGATTATTGAGATTATATTGGGGGAAATGAGACCTAATCCTGGGTTGAAACTGCTATTATCAACCTAATGGGGGACTTGAAGAACCGGAAGCCACTATAATGACTGGAATCTTATTAAACATTTTAAAAATATTGTCAAATCTGGCCAAGTGGGAAGTTACATTTACACTACTCTATGACCCCCCAAACTAATTTTCTCTAAACAAATGATGAGCTAAGCCAGTCCTTAACATATACAAATATAAACTCTTAAGTTCTTTTCACTTCACTCCTGCAAACACTATCAATACAATATTTGAGAAATGAATGGTGGATAAATACAAGCAGAGCCAGAAGTAAGAGAACGTAAGGTATCTCTAAACTCAACTGAATCATGAAATGGTCTTCATGTCGATTTTTTTTTTTTTTTTGAAATAAAAACGTATTTCTGACCCTCAACCATCATGTAAGGTCAGTTTGCTCCAAAGTAAATAACCACAGATTCAAAGTGAGGACACCATGAATCAACCCAGAACCGATGTTAATTTTATAGTTGCCACATTCAAGAAAATCAGTGTCAAAAAAATCAGTGCTCAAGAAAATCTGTGTTATAAAATTCCATCAATTTTCTTTTCTACAAATATCTGAGAAATATACATATACAAGACAATATACATAATTCACACATGTGTATCTTGTCAGGACAGGTTATATTTGTAAAATACTCTCCATACTCTTAACCACTTTGACGTAATGGATTTTAAAATACTAATGCTCTACCAAAATTAGCCTTATATGTTTTCAGGAATTAAATCCTGAGTATGTTTCTAAGTTTTTTCTCTGAGAAGCAGAGAACTGAGGAGTCTCCAAATTGCAACCGCATTTCCTTCTTGTAAACACTCATCTTTAAAGGGTATTTTTAAAACTCAGAACTCAGAGTGTAAGAATCTCCACCTTAACAAACCTGGAAGTTTCTTCACAAAGCAAACCTACAGATGCGATAAAAATATATGGGCATTACTGCTCACTTTTGCAACTACAACTTAGGTTATTATAATGTAGTGAAGTCCAATTCCCTCCTGACAGCCTTGACGAATGAAGGGAAATACAAAAAATGATAATAAATAAATAAATAAATAAATAAATAAATAAATAATCAAATGTCAAAGAAACGGCAACTTGAGGCCAGAGGGAGAGAGACAGACAGACAGACTCTGGAGACAGACAGGAACTAGGAGGGAGGAGATAATACGGTCAAAGCTGAAATGCTTAGAATGCACTAGACCTTGGCCCAGTCTCTGGCCCACTATACCCTACTTCATTAGTCATCTACAGCAACAAAAATTTAACAGGTGAGGCAAACTGATCTTGATCGTTGTGAACACAGAATTTAAGCCCTGTATCCGGTCTGAGATGTGTCAGAAAGAAACAGATCTAAGCATCAAGAAGCGGAGTGTGCGTGCGTGTGTCTATGTGCGTGCGCGCGTGGATGGGGGGCTGGTAAATCCACGCGAACTGTGCCCGAGACTCGGCACTAACGCTATTCGGCGCGTACTACACTAGGCAGCGCCGTCGGGAGCCCTCCCCGAGCCGGGCAGGAGGCGGGGGTCGGGGATTCTCCGCCCGCGATCCAGACCCTCGCAGCGCCCCGGGGACCGGCGCGAAGTGCACCCAGTTAACACCTTCCTCTCTGGGACCAGGGGCCGCGAGCCGGAGAGCGGGGCGCGCACGGGGGTGGGGCGGCTGAAGCGCGGCCCCTCTTCGGGAGGGAGAAAGGAGGCAGGGGGCGGCACCGCATCCCCGTCCCCACCCCGGGCGCATCAATTACCCGTGAGGTTCCTCAGCACCGTCCCGTGGGCCCAGAGGCTCAGGACCTGCTGCACCGACAGGTTGATCATGGAGTGATCGCCCCCTTCCGCCTTCATCTTCCCCGGGGGGCGCCCGCCGCCCTCTCCTCGGGCGCCGGGTGGCGGCGGCGGCTGCGGGACGGGGGGGCGGTGGGCGCGTGCGCGG